AACGCTACTCAAATTCAGGGGGTAATTTGGGTATATCAAAAAAATAACCGCAGGGGTATCAAAATTGAAACTTTTGCCACTATAACAGTATAATAGTCAAATATACTATATACTATACTATATATTTCAATATATAAATCATATGATTGTCTCCCAATTACTATATCTGTATGATTTTTGATGTGCCTGATATCGATATAGACGTAGTCGATACTGTGCGTACCGATATATATGGACAATCTTTTGATAATTATATACAGTATATTGATAAATGATAAATACTATATACTTGTAATTAAAAATACTCTTATATTCAGATCTTAATGTTAATACGTACATTCGTGTCATGCGTTAGCAAAAAGTTGATTCTCTACGATTTCAGAATAAAATTTAGATTTTCATACCGTTTATAATGTTTATTAAACAAAATGATATGTATTCTCTTGTAATTTTTATAATTTCAGACTTTTAATAGTAATTCTATAGTATGCTAGAGCATCATTCTATGGGGTGTTCCATTATATACTTACGTAACATTTCTACTTCTTAAATATACTATATACAAAGAAAAATAATTGTTAGTATTTTTTATTTATTTTTTTTTTTTTGAGAAAAAAAAAAAGAGACATACATATATATGTATTGAAGATAACTAAATCTATTGTTATACAAATAGTTTCTTTTTCTATTTTAAAAGCAAACTAACCAAAAGTCGGCAACTATTTAAAAAGGACCGATTGGTCTCCGGAATTATTATCAGTAATCGTGGTGAAACTTTGAATATTACATCCGATGCATTAAGTGTAAGTACAGACGTACGTACATAGGTGCGTACCTCAAAAATTCACTCATTTATGCTTTGCGCAAATTTTATCGGGAAGCAATTAGTACAAAAAGTGCCATTTTTTATTTGTTGAAACTATTTAATTTCGAGCTTACCAAAGAAAGTAATCAAATATCTGATTTGACGGTAATTTTTTCTAAATCTGTATCATGAATTACAAAAGCACATTCATTCTTGGTGTGGTTGTTTTTTGTTTACCAGTAATTTCCTCCAATTTAAGCAATTTTAGCAATTTAAGCTGTTTTGTTGTGTATTACGTTCTATGGAGTAATAGCCTTTAGAATATCTACAAAGTGTATTATACGGTTTAATTTACCTTGAAATTCTCAAAGTTTTTAAAATTGGTGTTTGAAACTTTATATTATATATTTGCAATTTAAATGTCTGGTTGTATCACCGACCTATCAAATAACAATGACGTATACTTTACTTACTTTGCTAATTAGCCAATAGGCTGTCGTTTGTTATTTTTATATTTAAATAGATAGTTGTCTTACAAGCAACTCGTCATTTTTCGATTTTCCCAATTTACTGCTTTTGATAAAAATTCCACTTTACTATGGATCCTTTTTTTTCCAATGCTGTTTTTTCATTAAACGACGATTCTAATTTTCCTTGGGATTTTACTTCTATTGAAGATAATGTTGAAGCTCAGAAACTTTTAGCTGCTGCTATAGCACATAACGATCAGTACAGATTCGACGAAGACCAGAAACGTAAATTGGAAATGCTTGAAGACGCTGCACAACAAACTCCTTCTAAAGCTAGTCGTATATATCATTGATTGATTTCATTATAAATATTTCTTGACTTCTTTTATTAAATTTATTTATAATTTATTTATTATTTTTTTTAGATAAGCTAAACATTAATTCCGTTCCACATCCAGATCTTGATGCTGAAGGTAAGTACTATTCTGAGCATAATTATCATATATATTTATCCTTAAAATAATATCCTTTTTATATACCATTAAAAAAAATCAGCGGAAAGTATTCCGTCCACACCGGATAATACGCAGTTTGAGCAATCTAATGAACCACAGAAGAAAAAGCCAGGTAGAAAACCTTTAACAAATACTCCTAGTAATGTATGTATGTTCCATTATGTAAATATTATTTTTAAACCTTAAATTGACCTATTTTATTATTTTATTATTTTATATTAGAAACGTAAAGCTCAAAACAGAGCTGCTCAACGTGCATTCCGAGAACGTAAAGAACGTTATGTAAAAGAACTTGAAACTAAAATTGAAGAACTTGAGTCTCTGTCCGCAAAAAGTGCTCAAGAGAATCAACAATTAAAGACGCTTGTTGAACAATTACAAGCTGAAAATTATTTATTGAAACAAACGAGCTTTACTTTTGATTTTCCTTTATCAAAATCAACCGACTCTACTGTTGCTATTGACAAAGATATCAATGATCTAGTCATACCTTCAGGAACAAAATCTATATCTTCTTCTTCTGTTCCTGCTTCTAATGCTAGTGATCCTTACACTCCTCCATCTTCAAGTACGAGTGATGATGAACCAGGTTCTCCTAATTCTGTTTCAGATCAAAACATTAATACCACCGTTTCTTCATCTGATAATTCATCTCAAGTACCATCATCTAATACCGATAAGTTGAACTTACCAGTTAAAAAATCTGGTTCTGTTTCAACATCATCTCATTCAACTAAACCCCAAAATGCTGAGGAATTTTGCGAAAAGTTCACTGATGGTATGTGTCAAGAAAGTAATGAATACAATTCGGTCTTTGACATCACTGGTTCCTCGAACGGTGCTACCGATTTAAACAGGTCATCATCGGCGTTCACGGAGTATAGAGATCCAACTCCTTTCACTCCAAACATAGACAATCCTTTTTCTGAGTCGGCGCCATTACCGCCGCTCTTTGAAGATAATTTTCAAGATTTTGGCAGTTTTGCTCCAATGGCTACTCCAACTGATGAAAATAAAAATCCTATTCATGCCCATTTCCCAAATAAGCATGAATTTGCTTCTTTGGAAGACATTCGAAGTAAAAAATTTTTGTCTTGTAATAAAGTATGGGAAAGGATTCAACAACATCCAAAGTTTGATGATCTTGAAGGTGATGAAATCGATCAATTATGTGCTGAGCTTAAATCTAAAGCAAAATGTTCCGGAAAAGGTCCGGTTGTGCCTGAAGAAGATGTAGAGGCTGTTTTGATCAAATTAGAGGATAAATAGTTTGTTATGCGTCGTTTTATTGATCTTTGTCAATTCATAATTGACATAAATCATTTACGAATCTTAGAATAACACGTTTGGCACTTTGGGATCGGCATAAATTTTACTGATTAATGATATTCATTTTTATGTATCGATATGCAGTATTTATTAAAAAAAAAAATAAATGTAAATACATAATAACAAAATCAAATGCTAAAAGCTATAAAGTATATACGTTATATATTTATAATAATGCTGAACACTTCTAAAAGTGCATTTTTTAAAGAAAAGACTAAACGCGGCCATCACTATTATTTTTTTAATATGAAATAAGACTATATGAATTATTTATCGATTTTTGTATTGATCGCGTAATATACGAGAGTAATATCAGGAGTAACGAAATGATTTGCACAACGAAGAACTAATAATTTTGAAACTTGCTACAGAGAAATCTTCATGAATGTATTCCACAAGTAAAATCTCTTCAAGTGCACTGCTCTTAGCTTATACAGTCTTCCTCCTCTATAATCACGCAGTTTGTATCAAGAAAATTAGTGATTATAAAAGAGTGTGATTATAGAAGTATTTTTTTATAAGTTTATTAATAAATCGTCTCAAAATTTAATGTGATTGCACAGGAGTTGTGATTATA